TTTGTTAATGGAGCACGTAAGGTGGAGAAGGGAGGAGCTCAGGACGGGTGATGTGATTGACGGAAAATTTAGCAAATCACAATCCACAAAAGAGTAACGGGGACTGCGCCCTCTGGCGGCGTTTCCTGTAGGTTTTTGTTTGTGCCCTTCAAATTGGAATCACATTACTGGGAAAACCATAATTCATCATGAAGAGCCAAATATAGAAAATAATAATAATATGTTAATTCACACCTCAAATAAGGGCCATATCCTGGAGAAATGCCGGCATTGAGCACCATATATTTATCAATAGTATGTGCAAATGGGCAACATTTTTCATAATATTAAAGTACCAATGCCAGGAGCTAATAGAAAAGGATGATTGACAAAAGAGTACAGTAATTATAGTTTTTGAAAATTTTGTTTGTTAAGGATTATTTCAAAATTTTAAAAACGGAATATTTTTCTTTTTGAAGCGTTTAAGTGTTTTTTTCTAACTCTTAAACACGCGGAGTCATTCCATGTCGCACATCTTCTGCTGGTCCTTGAATGCAGCACCGTTGGTAGTTGTCGTACATCTGCAAGTAGCATTTCAGTTTGAATCGTCTGCAAAGCAAACCCCTCAAAATGCCTGTAGATTTGAGCCAGTGGACCGGGTCTCTTGCCCTGCAGGAGGTCGAGGAAAAGCCTGCAAAGCCCCTGACTGTAAAATACGGATCTGTGGAAATAGATGAGCTGGGAAAAGTGCTTACCCCAACACAGGTTTGTCAGCTAACCACGGTCTGTTAGCAAGTGTGGCTACTAGCGTCGCTTCTTGGTGATGCGTTTAAATGCTGTTTAAAGTACTGTGCATTTCTCTAAACTAACACTGCATTATAAATGATTATATGGGATGGGTAAGATTAGTAAGTATTGTAACCGTCTACCACAAATGAATTGGGTTACATAATGCTCCCTGGTAGTATGCCTTTAGTCGATGGCTTTTAGCGCCCCCAAACGGCCTCAAACTCCGGCATAAAAGTGAAAGTTGACGCACTTTTGTCCGCGTGTTGCTGCAGGTGCAGAATCGACCCACTTGCATCGAATGGGAAGGATGTGACTCCAGTAAACTGTACACTTTGGCCTTGACCGACCCTGACGCTCCCAGCAGGAAGAACCCCAAATTCAGGTGAAAGGAGCATGTTAATGGAGCACAGACAGGACCTACTGGGAGGCCACTGCAGTGGGCCTAGGCTTTTCATTTGTGCCGCTTACTTTTGACTCTTGATCATGTTCATTAACACAGTTTCATAGCTACGTTTTGTTTTTGTTTTTTTTTTTGGCACGAGGAGAGCAATGACAACTCGAACAGTTTCTGTACAGTTCAGATTTTCAATATCAAACTGATTATCTTTTCTTCCACTAAAGGGAGTGGCACCACTTTCTGGTAGTCAACATGAAAGGAAACGATGTGTCATCTGGCTGCGTCAAGTCTGACTATGTGGGCTCTGGTCCTCCTAATGGCACAGGTAAGAATGAATGAATGAATGAAGCTTTACTCTAATAAACCTTTGGACAGTGCTGGGAGAATCCAAGTTTCCCAGGTGGCAACTGCCACAAAAACGTCCATTAATATTCAATCTGACTCGCTCTTTAATATTAGCAGAAGGCTCATGGCTGTGGTGCATGTGTGAAATTAGATTTCAAAACACCAATGATGCCCTGATGCACATGCACTGTGATAACAGAAATGACACAAATGGAAATTAATAAATAAGTAAACGGAACACATGAACAAGTGGAGTCTATAGGTAATTTGTAGAGCTCGTCTTATATAAGCAAAATGTGTTTGGCACAATTTTGCATACAGATCACAATTCTTACTGGTAAAAGCTGCCAGGCAGGAGAGGGCTGGGGGGGGGGCACATAAAACAAAGTTAATGTTCTCTAGTGTGAAATGTGGGGAAAAGGTTTAGACATGCAATTTTCTTTTCATGGTATCTGCTGCTCACGCTCTTTGGAATTTAAAATAAACTAATATTTTTTCTTTCTTAGTGTGTAATTTAACGTTTAAAATCCTGTGTGCTTGTCCGACTCAGGTCTCCATAGGTATGTGTGGCTAGTGTATGAGCAGTCAGGCACACTGTCCTGCAGCGAGCCTGACCTCACCAACCGCTGTGGAGACAACCGCGGCAAATTCAAGATCCAGAGCTTCAGGGAGAAATACAACCTGGGAGCACCAGTGGCGGGAACTTGCTACCAGGCTGAGTGGGATGACTATGTCCCTAAACTGTACGAGCAGCTGTCTGGAAAATAAAAAA